GGCTGCAGGCGAGTGCGGAGTGCTGCTGGCACTGCTGGTGCTGCTGGCGTTACCGGAGACGTTGGGAAGGGAGGTGGTTGGCTCCATGCTGGCCCAGCGCTTCAGGCAGATGAAGCCCCATGGGGCTTCCCCCCACCCTGCTCACCAGCCCCGCTGCGTCTGTAGGCACAGCCCCAGCATGGCTGAGTCCCCGGGAGTCGTCCTGGCCACCACTGCTCCTGCACTGACCCGGTCTGGCGGCGAGGCAGAGGTTGTCCTGGCCCGGTGGTCCCCAGCAGGGCATGCGGGACGGCGGGGGGGGGGGGAGCACAGAGAGGCTCCCACGGCAGCGCTGCTGGCTCTGCTGGTCCCAGTCTCGGAGGAGGGCGGGTGGGAAGGAGGGAGGGCGGGAAGGATGGGCCGATATCACTGGCAGAAGCCCAAACATCTGTGGGCAGTGGGAGAAGTTGTTATTACCAACACTTAAAGGGCTCTCTCCAGGATCACCGCGGCAGGAGGGCTTCTGCCATGGGTGCCAGGGTGTTCTGGGCACCAGGGGCACTGCCCAGCTATGCCAGGTCAACATCCTGCTGATCCCCCAGCCTGGCAGCACTGCAGCACCCCAGCACCTCACTGTCTGCCCCATGCTGTGCCTCGCTCACTCACCACCGCCGTGGCACAGAGTGGGGCAGCACAGCCCCTGCCAGCACAGCCCTCTGGGGACAAAGTGGGTGGAAGATGCTGCCTGTGACACCTTGGCTGGCTACAGACCACAGGGTTTAGTTGTGGCATCATCAGTGTGTGCCCCATGGTATCAGAAGTGCATTGGTGTGTCCCCAGCAGTGGGCACCTGTCTGGGGCCAGGCTGAGCAGTGGTGGCACATGGACACGGGTGGATGGTGGGTGTCTGGGACCTGTGGCCACAGCTGTCTCCCTAGGGTTTGCAGAGGCAGAAGCTGAAGAGACATACACCCAGAGCATAGGCATTCAGCCTTTATTAGACACCAGCTGAGCAGGGACAGCAGAAACCGATGGCCACAGGAGCAGCAGCCCAGGTGTCAGTGCCAGCTAGAGCCGCGTGGCACCATGTGGGGGCAGGCGAGGGGAGCCCACCCGGATGGTGGGGCTGGGCATCTCCTCGGGGTAGGAGAGCGCAGGGTTGTCCAGCCCCAGCCTGGCCTTGTCGTGGGGAGGACCCTCGTGCTCCTCCCAGCCCTCGGGGCTGCGGCAGCGGTCGGTGCAGCAGAGGGTGGCCTGGGTGATGACCCGGTCAAGGGGCTGCAGCGAGTGCATCCAGGCAGGGAGGAAGTCCCAGGTCTGCAGCCACTTGGGCAGGCGCCCAGGGCTGTGCGCCTGCAGTGCATTCACCAGCCCCACGAAGAAGAGGAGGCCGAGGAAAGGTGCACCCACCCCCACCAGTACCCTCCAACCCGCCATGGAGATGCCAAAGATGAGGGAGGGCAGCAGGAGGAAGCAGACGATGAGGTACAGCACGGCGAACCAGCGGTACTTGGCTGTGCGCTCCCCCAGCGCCTTGGCCATGCGGATGGGCAGGCGGGTGAAGGGCAGTGGGTACCACAGCAGGATGCCAGAGATGTTGAAGAAGAAGTGGCAGAGAGCAATCTGCAGGGACAGCATCCCCATCAGGCTGGGCACGTGGGCTTCTCCTAGCACATGCCCTGCTTGGTGCCCACAGCCAGCCCAGCCATGGCACTGGGCTGCCCATACCTGGAAGGAGCTGGCCAGCTTGTCCCCTGGGCTGGCCAGGGCAGCCAGGATGGCAGTGGTGGTGGTGCCAATGTTGGAGCCCAGGGTCAGTGGGTAGGCACGCTCAATGCTGATCACCCCCAGGCCTGTGAGACAGACATTCCATCCCATCCCATCGCTCCCTACCCATCCCATCCCATCGCTCCCTGCCAGTGCCATCTCTGTGCCTCCTTCGGAGGCACAGCTCCTCCTGTCCCCCTGAGTACTCTAGCACCCACAGACCATCACAGTAGGGACCAGCACATGACAGGGGACCAGGCATGGCCGGGACTCACCAATCAGGGGTGTGATGGCCGAGGTGAAGACAGAGCTGCTCTGCACCACGAAGGTCATCCCAGCACCCACCACCATGGCGAAGTACCCGGTGAGCCAGCTGAGCGGGTGTGGGAGGTCTGCCACAGCATGGCCATGGGTATGGACGCAAGCATGGACATGGGCATGGACACATCAGCTAGGAGCAACTCAGAGCTCCTACATGGT